TAATGACTTATTAAGTAACTAGTTACCTTTATTATAAATGTCGGTAATCATGTAAAAAGGCGGTGATCATTTAAGAAAAAGCTATTAAAGGCCTTGAAAAGAACATTCGGTATGCTTAAAAAGGAAATTTTTGATTTAGGAAAATCTCAGTTTATTGCTTTACTTGTAGTGGTTGAAAAAGGGTAAAAGAAAAGTTGGTGTTGCATGCTTGAATCGTGTTTAGTTATGAAGATGCATAAATCAATTTAGAGATGTGCATTGATATAATAATAATGTTTTAAACATGATTGATTTGACTATTGGATTTTTAAATTCTGAATTGAGCATCAATGTTTAGAAGAATAATCATACTGACATGATATTTGTTTGAATGATTTTATGGGTTTATCATCCGAAAACTCTCACGAGACACGACTCGTCCACTAGGGTTTAAAGACTTGTTGTATGTGCTAAATACAGTTGTGATTCCTACGAAAGTGAGTTAGGTTTTTATTTTATTTGTTTTACTCGAAGACTAGAAAAGTTTAAATATGAAGGTATTTGATGAGTGTATAATTAGCATGATTTTTATGCTCTATTACATTGAACTTTCTAGTATTTATTGTATTATATTAGGTTAATTAAGATTAAGATGAGGTTTCAAGTTTTATAGGAAAAATGACAAATTGGAGCAAGAAAAACAAAAGCCAAAGCAAGAAGAAGAGAAATCTTCAAGAAAGCTAGGAGTTATATGGCCATGTCACTCACAAAGGAAATCAACTACGGCAGTATGACATTTAGGAAGAAACAATATGGATTGCTTAGTAACAAAGCCACACAAGCGAGTAGTATTCAACTCGACCGGAAGAAGAATACCCATACGGCCATGCGTATGTCAAGGCTGGATTGTCTTTCAAGAGAAAAAAGAGTACACATATAGTAGGCATTCCATACGGTTTGTAAAGAAAAGAGACACATTAGTGTCTCACAAAGTAGAAGAAGCCCATATAGGCGAAAAGAATTAACACGACTTAAAGGTAAAAGGCAAACAGTCATGTGCCTCTATTCGACAAATCATTTAATACCCTTTATTCAAGGCTTCAAATCCTATGAAGTTGAGTAACAAACGAGTGTAAGTTAAATAGCTATGAGATCATAGGTTTTATTTCTAAACTTATCTTGTTTGAGTATTTTATGTTTTTCTATATGATTGATTTATAGTTAGGTAATTAAATTGATTATAATGCATGTTAGTTGTTTGATCATATTAACTTATTGCTAGCTAATTATTCAAGTCCGTGTAATTTTTTTCTAAAATTACTTGTGGTAGTAAATAGGGGTTAATGATTATTTTTTATGTTTTCGTTCAATCCCTTGAAAAACATAGAACTAGGTTACATTTTTCTAGCGTCTAAGAAGGTCGTTTAGCTTAACTTTGTCTTTCTCTTATTAATGGTGTTATTAGATTAAATCTATCTATAGTTTAGTAGGTTATTTAGTAGCTAGGGAATTAATTGGACATCATATATTCGGTTAACGACTAAATAAGAAAAGATTGGGGATAGTATATATGTTATTGTCCTACGATGAATATTCATATTTAGGATAAGTTAATGATTTAATCGATGATCGGCGACCAAACTAAAAGTGAATATTGAAGTTCAACCAAGGTTCCTTTATTATTGTTATTTCAATTTACTTTAATTGTTTCTAAAGAATTCAAACACAAAACCCCCTCTTTGTTGCTTTTACTCTATATGAACAATCAATCGAAAGAAACTATAAATTAAGCCTCCTTCTCGTGGGTTTAACTCTTACTTGCCCTAGTTACACAATTGTGGTTAAGCTCTATAATGACATCATAAATTTACTAATTTGTTGGCGGGTACGATATGCCATCGGTTCCTTTTTTAATTGAATTATTTCTATGCTACGAGAGGTAATCTTTCACCCATTTTTATATTCATATTTATTATGTATGATTTGTTGATTTAATGACATGATCTTGGGAACCCTAGATGGAGGAATTTTTTTTTATTATGCATTTCTATAGGATGAATGACCCGTCATAAAATGCACAAACCCTACGGATAGAGGTCACCTCAATGGTTTCTTATGCTCTAGGTAGTAGTTCTAGTACTAATGTTGGTCGGTCCGGTCATGTCACGAATGAGAGGTATATATTATGCACACCAATATAAATAGTATTGTCTTTACAATTCGTAATTATTTATATTTTGGTATATTATTTTGTTCTTGAATTCACATTTTTTTTACTTTTTTTATCGTATTCGATAGTTTGAATCCATTCGATCGGTGCTCTCAACGAATCACCACCATTTTTAGATAGTGGTTGGACCTCTCCAAATCTACATGAAAATCGGTCTTCTAGGAGACCAAAGACTTCTACTAAGAAGAGTTTAAGATAATATATTAATTATTTATTTATATTAATTTTAAATTATTTTAGTAAATCTAACATGAAATGTATTATTATTCATTTTTTCTTTCTCATAGAAGTACTTTATATAGGAGGAAGCCATCGGTGCACTAGTTAAGATAGTATGGGAACATAAAGCACGTAGATGGTATGTCGACATGCTGATCGGCTAGAAGAGGAAAGGGACCAACCTCCATCTATCCTAAAACAAGTATGTGAGGGATGGTAGCAACAATGAGCTGCACTCGAGTTTCGAGCTCATTTTGAACAAGTGATTTGAAACCGTATAAGTGAGACGGATGGCACCGGTGATCGCCTATCTAAATATAATAAGGTTTCCATCTCATCGATTGAGCATCTTGCATGCATGATAAATCATATTATCCATTATATTATAAAGTATTATTTATAGTTATTGCAAATCATATCATTTATGTCAATTTTTTTCAAGCTAAGGATTGGGGTCATGACTTAAATCCTTACGAGTTATTCACGAGAAATCATAAGCGACCAAATGGGTCATTTGTCGATGCATGATCCGGAACGATTAAGGTAAGTATTTTATTTTTTTAATTAGACATATGCCAATGTAATATAAAAATTAAATTTATTATTTAATATTATAATTTTTGTATTTATGTAGGAGCGAGTGGACTCGATGTGTGAGGCAACTACTAGCCCTCACTAGAGGGTTATTCATTGTTGTTAGATGTTGATATAGCCTCTATATATCTAGAGATTGAAGGAGGGGATAAAAAGCATATAGTGTATGGGTTTAGATCACAAGCGTCTTAGTATTACTCTCATTTTAGCATTAACTTATCCTCTTCCACATCATGATTCTATAGTAGTATACAACGGGATGATGAGCGAGTGTCAACGGTAGCTCGATGGCGGAAATAGAGAGTGATTGGGCTCATCAAATCTAAGATATGAAAAACGAACATAAGGTGGAATACCAACTTCCCCAACATGAGCTACAAGGGACTTGTTAGGATTAGTATGAGGTGGTACAACTACGGGAGTATCGGATGCGGATGATGCAACATCTTTTGCGGGAGATGCGGACTCGCATTCACTCGTCTTTACCTCCTCCTTACTCTCTCTTTTCCATGCCATCGCCCTTTGCTTCCCATACCCAATAGGAGTCAAATAATGATGATGATCTCCGACTTGTACCTTCTTGATCGGACTATATTTTTTGTAGCTTTTTATTATTTTCATACACTAGAGAGCATTTGTATATATTTGATTTAATTTTATATTATTTTTATTTTACATAGATTATTTCAACTATCGACGAACAACTACGAAATCCCTTGCTATATGACCGACCAATGGTGACATATTAGCAACAATATATTTCACCATGTTAGCAATGAACATACTTCACTATACCGATAATTTATCTCGTTACTAATTTTACAACAAATAGTAACTTTTGTTGGTATATTTCATCACAATAGTGACGGAAATACTTCATTATAGCAACAACTTATTCATCGCTAATTTTACGATGGATGGTAACTTTCGTTGCTAAAATTATTAGCGATAAGTATTTTACCTATAGTCTAGTTTCATCGCTAAAAGAAAATAATGATGAAATATATATGTTTAGCAATGAAATTTTCGATCACTCAAGACTTAATTTTTTTTTTTAATGAAAACAATGAGTGTCTTGTTTTATTTTAAAAGCATAACAATTGCTTTAATTTGTAAGAAAAATAGGTATTAACAAAACACTCGCTTTTTGACCAAAAGTAGTTAGAAACTAAAAATTATATCGTACTCATAGAGTAACTAACAATACTTATTTCATAAGAAAGGGATAGACACAAAGAAAAAAATAGAAAAGAAAGAATTAAAAAAAGAGAGAGTTTAGGTGGAAATATTCTTATTATTTTTGAGAAGTTGGATGTGATTTTTTTTTGTCTATCTCTTTTATTAAAGTAGATCTATGGAGTAAATATTATTAGTTACCATATGAGTATTTTAAAATATTTAATTAAAAACAAATGTGTTTTGAAAAAACAACAATTCCAAACATACACCTACATACTAATTCGATTTCCACCCTAGATATATAAATTTTATCAATTAGATTTAAAAAATTTCCTACATTTTCAAATTATCATTTCATTAATTTCTTAATGATATTTTAAGTCTAATGTGCAAATTCTATTCACTAAAATTACGTCAATTTGAAGCAAAAATTGACAAAAAAATTAATGAATATTATTGTTTTTGTTCTAATGTGTGTAGTCTGTATACTAAAATGATGTTGATTTGTGTAAAATATGATTGAAATATTTATGAACATTGATAATAAAAAAAAATTTAATTTTAAATTTTTTTTGAAACATTTGGGATCCAATTGATAACATATTTAGGTTTGAGATTTAATTGAGAATGGGTTAATACTTGGGGGATAAATCTGGGTCTCTCGTACAAATGAAAGAAATCTCAGCCGTCATTTGTCAAATTTTACCATTTCTAATTCGAAATACGAAAGACGTTGACTTCACATCAAAGGCATATTTCACTTCACGCCTGAATCGCTCTCCTTCTCCTTATAATTTCTATGGCAGGAATTCGGTTACAACCAGAAGAGTCAGCTGACCTAACGCAAATCAGAGCTGCTGGTGCCAGTGGCGATCTGGTGTCGGACGACGAGAGGTCTGTGGCGGCGGACTCGTGGTCAATTAAGAGTGATTATGGAAGTACTCTCGATGACGATCAGCGCCATGCTGATGCCGCAGAGGCTCTCTCCGCCGCCGCTAATTGTCGCGCCGCTTCTGATTACAGGTAGCTATTTTCACTTTTAATTTGTTCAGTTTTTGCTTTTCCTTTATTGTTAGAAAGTGAAATAAAAAATCGCTGATCAAATTAAGAAGTTGGGGTTTTTCAATTATTATTATTATTACTGTTAGTTTTTCTATCGTTTTGGTATTTTAGATATTTGGTAAAATCCTTTGGATTTGTTCTGTTTTGTGTTAATTTTAGAAACCACTTTCTTTTGCTTAATCCCTCTTATTAGCTTCATTAGGTTTCTATGCATATGTGATGGAAAGCTGTTTAGTGAGGCATTGATAGATTTATTATATACGAGGATACTTGCCGATGGATAATTTAGTGACGCATTAATGGATTTATTATTTGTAAATTTAGCTTGTTATGAATATGATATGGGATTTGGATGTCTGTGCTAATGTGCATGTACATTGAATCATTGATTGTTCATGAACACAGTTCGGACAAGGAAGAACTAGATGCTGAAGGCGGGGTTTCCATGCTAGGTCTACAGAGTTATTGGGATTCTGCTTATGCTGATGAGTTGGCAAACTTCCATGAACATGGACATGCTGGTGAAGTTTGGTAAATATTCCTTATTCATTTAACTTTTTTTCCCTAAGAAAAACTTCTTGCTCGAATTATAAAAATCCATTGTATATACTGCATAGTACGATTATGTTGCTAGTGGCCTAGAATTTGTGAGTTCTCTCACAATATGCAATAATGATGCTCGAATTGAAGCTGTGTACAAGAATATAGCAAGTTATCGAAAATGTTTAATTTGGCAATGCTCAAATGTCTTTATGTGACCATTAATGGTCTATTATCAAAGTGCTTTTATCTTGAGAAACATATTCCTATTCTTGTGAGGATATGTTGGTCCTTTAAAGTGCTTCTGATACTGGATCTTTTATGAAATTGTGATGTGGTAAAATTATTATTTTTTTTTTTTGTAAAGAGAGAGAAAAAAAAATGCAAGTTATCCTCTAGACTTTTGATAGGCAGAGATTTCCTTGTTCGGCTGTCTCCCAATGGGGTCAAGCTGCATGGGATTTTTTTTTTTTTTTGGGTTAACTCATTACAATTACATGTGGGCATTTGGATGCACCTTTGGGAATAGTCTCTCCAATTCAAGGGTATGATGTGATAGAAAATGTATGAATGATGAATGTGTTTTGCACGTATATAGTCTCTATACTCTTCAAATTGCTTTGATTGAAAGCCCTATTTCTTTTCCCATTGATTGAGTTCCTCTTTCTTTCATTTTGTTTTATTATCGCATCTTCGTTATAACATTCTTAGTTTGTGAGTTGACGTAACATGTTACACACTTGAATGGTTGACACGTGTTATATGTGAGATCTCAATAGAGAGACTCAATCAATACGAGGAAAAAAAATATAAAGCTTCAATCAAAACAGTTCAAAAAGTACAGGGACCAAAATTTTTTTTTTTGTTTTTTAATTTTTTTGTTATTATTTTTTAAAAACTTATACAGAATGCTCAAAATTTGTCATATAAGTGTGTTTTTTTAAAAAAGAAATTGTTATAATAAATTAAAAATAATAAAATAACATGTATAGAAAGAAGAACCTAACATACAATTATTAAAATAAAAATATGATGTGCAATATTAAACAGCCAAAGACCGTTAGTTAAGGGGTCTAATCCTTCATAAAAAGTAAGAACTTACGAATATTTAATCGTTTCTGAGTAAAAAAATGGGGTTGCACCATAAAAAAGAAAAAAAAAAACCTAGAGATTGCACCACATTTTCTTTTTTGATATATAGATAGTTAGCAATTAGTCAGCATTATTGTTGTTTTCAATTTGATTTTGATGAATATATTTGCATACTATTTTTTTATTAATTGCTTGCTAGATTCTTTTTCTCTTTTTTATGTATTTTATTATTTTTAAATTATTATAATATTTTTTTTGGAAAAGTACTCTTCATAGTTTTTGTGATGAGGTCTCACATATGATATATTTCATGACATTTAAGATGAGGTTTTAAAACATTAATAACATGGAAATTGAAAAAGAAAAAAATAATAACTTAGTCTATATTATTTGAATTGTTTTGATTGAAACTTCATACTATTTTTCATATTGATTGAATGTCATTTGGGATTTCGCATTTGATATTGGTCACACATTCAAGAGTGTAACGTGCCATGTCAACTCACAAAGTAATGGCATTATAATGGAGTGACGGTAACAAAACAAAATGAAGAGTAGAAGAACTCAATAAACACAAAAGGAGTACAAGACTCCAGTCAAAATAATTCGAAGAGTAGGACCATATATGGGCAAAACCCAATGGTAAATCAAAATAAAACTATGTTTCCTTGAATTTCTTGATTGGATTTTTCCTATAGGCAAAAAAAGGAGAAATAAAGTTAAGAGCACCAACATTGTGCAATCCATAATCTATACTTAAAAGACATTGCACAAGTACATTTTGCTTGACAAAGGTGTATGTTTTAATCCAGAAAGATAGATTGCTACACTCCCTAAAGGCCTCCTATTATGATTAAAGGTATTAAGACACATTTTTCTGTATCTGTATGCAAGCATTCCCAAGTCCACAACTGTCCTTGAGCTAATTTCTAACAGATTGTCACCAATGAGAATGAATGCTGTCACAGTTTTCTAGTCTAAGCAGAATGCCAAAGTGATGCAACGATTCTGTTTTAGCTTGGCCAAGTTTTTTCCTTTTTGGACATTGTCAATGGCCATAATTCTCCACAATGCTGCTTTCCAAGGAAAAAAGGCAATCATTGGAGGTCAGCTTTCTTTCTAATAGCTTTCAAAAGAAAGTTGGTCTCCCCTTTCAGAACTAACTTGGGCTCACTTGTTTTTGATTGAATTGAGTTATTCATGATGTGGCTAGATTATACTTCTGAATTTTTTCAGATGCCATTCATTACAACACATAATTCTTAAGAAGGTTAATATTCCTATGTGGATCAGTCCTTGTATCTACATGGTGACTTTAATTATTTTTCTCTTTTGCTAATATTGATCCATATGTTTATGCTATTTGGATCTCATTTGTTTGCTTCTTTTTCATCTTTCTCAATAGGTTTGGGGCTGATGTAATGGATGTCATTGCTTCTTGGACAAAAAGCCTATGCTTTGAAGTTTCTCAAGTTCGCATTCCAATTCATGTTGATGATATCAAGTCTGAAACTGTTGAAGAGAGTGATAAATATCTGTCCAGCTGGAGTGTACTTGACATAGGGACTGGCAATGCTTTACTCCTTCACGAACTCGCTAAGCAGGGGTACACTTTGAGATTTTGCTAGTTCTGGTATTATACACTAAATCGCCGATATAATTTAAAATGGTCATACAAAATAACTAAATTTGACTGAACTGAATCATCTTCTTTTTTTTTTTTTTTTTTTTTTTTTTTTTTTTTTTTTGTGTGTGTGTGTGAAGACATGATACACACGTCCTGCAAAGATTAATGTAGGATTTGGAAAGTCATTTTATTAGGTCAAATATTGGTAAAGTTGTTACTAGCAGTGCCTTTGCCAGAGATGGTTAAGGGGGCTAATGTAAGGGGATCTTTGTACTTGTACATGGATTCTCCAGTGAAGAGCAAGTACACATACAGTCTTGACAAAAAAAGTAATTTTGTATACTTGCTTTCTGTCATTTTGTGTAGAACATGCACATACACATTTGTGTTCTTTCTGGGACCTTAAACATTGATTGGAAGTTGCATCTTTTGTTATTTCTCAATTACTGAAGGCCACACAGGACAGCAACTTCCATGGACCTATGAGATGTAAGAAAAGCCAATACTCACTTTTTTGTTTTGGAAAAGAGATTTAAAGAGAAGGAAAGAAGCAAATTTGATGAAAATCCCATTTGATACATTTTGATTCTTGAGAAGTTGTGTTCAGTCTACCTATGTGTGCATGTTGCAATACATATAAAACTCACTGTGTGCATGTCCAATTTAGAATAAGAATGGTTCCCCCGTTGTTTTCAGAAATATGGAGTTGATAATTCAGCCAAAATTGCCCACATTCTGCAGAGCTTGATTTAGTGCTGTAGCAAAACTGCTGATTTTTTTTGGATAGGGCTACATTTTTGTTTAATTAGTATATTCTGCTAGAATAAAGAAGATTTCTACTCTTGTGCATGCCAGGTTTTCTGATTTAACTGGAGTTGATTACAGTGAAGGGGCCATTAACCTGGCACGCAGGCTTGCTGATCGTGATGGGTTTTCTAATATCAACCTTCTGGTGTGTCATAACTTTGATATTACTATGAAATTATAACTTGCTGTGGTTTTTAGTCTGGTGCAAATTTGTTTTATTCATTTCGATTCCATCATTGTCTTTTTCCTTTTGGCTTACAAGTGCACTAGGCTTTAACAAGCTTGTGATTGTCTTCTCCATGAAAATGATCATTTTTGTTGTCTTTTGGCAGGATGTTGATATTGGCTAGTTTTGTCTTAGTGGTTAAATGAAATCTTAATGATTAATAACATGGAAGTGAGCAATCCATACATAAGCTCTCTGTCTTTTTTTTTTGGGTAAATTGCACTTGCTCTCTTGAGGTAATCATGAGATTAAGGAGACCATCCAAAAGTTTAAGGATATTAGAGAAATCCTTTTCCCAACCTAAATGCCCTCACTATTAAAGGGGTGGTTTTAATAGTAGTAAGGGCATTTTGAATATGAAAGAGGATTTCTGAAATAGTTTTTAAACGTGGAGAGGTTCCAGTAAAATCTTCAAAATTTTTGTGGGCTCTGTAATTTCACAATACCTCAGGGTCTTATTGTAATTTACCATTTTTTCATTGGTCGTTTGTCTTCTTCTTCTTCTTTTTTTTTTTTTTTTTATTGGGACTTTGATATTGGATTGTTGTCTTAACTGTTGATGAACATTTACTATTTGATGGGATCAATCTATGTTCTGCCTTATTACTTTTTTGAAGTGTCATGCATCCAACACCACTTGAGAAAACTGGTGACCTTTCAAGCTGGAAGTGAGCTGCTTGTGAATTTATTGTAGAACTAGTTTTTAAGCGAGACAAATCTTTTGATTGAACTTGGTCATTTATATGTATTAACTTCTGTTCAAAAGTGGCATCAATCTATTTTTTGCCTTCCTTATTTCTTTTTTGAAGTGTCATACATCCAACAACATTTGAGAAAACTGATGAACTTTCAAGCTGGAAGAGAGCTGCTCGTGAATTTCTTGTAGAACTAGTTTTTAAGCCACAAATCTTTTAATTGTACTCGGTGATGCATATGTATTAACTTCTGTTCGACCATATATCTTATCACATTTTGGTCTTTAGGTTGATGATGTTCTTGATACAAAATTAGACAGACAATTTCAGCTGGTCATGGATAAAGGGACTTTAGATGCCATTGGATTGCATCCTGATGGTCCCATCAAAAGGTAATTGATAGTACCTAGTGACCAGGGTACCCTGATTGCATGCTGGTCTTCTTTACTTCAGTGCCCTATGTTTAGAAATCAAATTTGTGACTTTTGGTTTTAAGATTCCAGTTCAGTCACTTGTTAAATACTAAATTTTAAACTAATTTTATTTTTTAATTTTAGGATCATGTACTGGGAATCAGTTTCAAAGTTGGTTGCATGCGGTGGAATCTTGGTAAGCTTTCATGTTGAACCTAGATTATCTTTACTTCGCTTGAAGTCTGTATTACTAGCTTGCAAGTCGATCAAGAAGCCCTAACTTTTGTGTAAAGACTTCGGTTGCATCGAAATGTCATATTTTCCTTAGACTGGATCATTTTTTCAGACTCTCTCAAGTTTTCATTAGTTTCTAAACCTTCAACCTGCTAACTAATGTTCTCTTTATTTTTTTCTGATCATGATACATAATCGCAGGTGATTACATCGTGTAACAATACAAAAGAAGAATTAGTGCAAGAAGTGGAAAATTTTAAGCGAAGGAGGATTGATTTATCCCTGGAATCAGAGTCTATGAAGGACCATGAAGCATCCAGAGAATCTCCATTTCGATACCTCAATCATGTTCGAACATATCCTACCTTTATGTTTGGTGGATCAGTAGGATCACGTGTTGCCACTGTGGCATTTCTTCGAAAATGAACTTTAGCTTTCTGTCATGGGTTGGTACTGGTAGGTTTTGTTGCGGTTCAAGGTTATGATGTGTGTGAGATAGAAGTAATATTTTTTAAGAAAGCTTGATGTCGTTGGAATGAATTATTGAATACAATGTTTGATGCACTAATGATGATGGGAAGAATGCAGAAATGGTGAGATTCAATGAGACCAATACATATTTTATGTTGCTTTAGAGATACCGGTTGAGTTTGTATGTGTTTGTGATTAGGCAAAGATTAGATAATTAATAAACACTTTTAAAGAAAAAAGGTAATTTCTATTTATGCTACATTTAAAGAAAAAAGGTAATTTCTATTTAAACTACATTAGATGCTTTTTTTAGCCAGCCTTTTAGCTTTTAGCTACTTTATTTTTGAGCAAATTAATTTAAAAGACTCTTAAGTGCTCAATTTATCCATGAAAGTTAATTAATTTAGTTAATTTTTATTATATGTTAATGTATTTTTTTTTTTCTGTTTTTAACATAGATCTAAATTACATAATAAATGAATTGCATTGAAGACGGACATTACTCAACATAAGGAATTGCAGCGTAAGGATGGACATTGATATTCTAGCAGAGGTAGTGTGTATGTCTTGTATTTTGGATGTATTAGAGAGATTGGTTTTGTAAGCTTAAAGCAAGGTTCTTTAAAGGAATGTTCAATTGTTACATTCTTTTAGCATTTGTTAGGAAGTTGAAACGAGTTTAGTATAAAAATTTTAATTTCTTCAATTCAGATTTATCCGTCTAAATTTAGATGATATGATACGATTTTAGCGGTTAATGATCATCTTTTTTCACTATAAATACTAGCCTCACATCATTGTGAGAGGGATCGAACTTTTAATTTCAACTTTTGATTCTAGCAAAAGAAACTATTAAATTGTCATTCTCAAAACTCTTTTACTCATATGTTAGAGAACATTTAAAGTTTCATTTGTTTGGATTTTGACTATCCACCTAATAAGTACTTGACTTGTGTTTTGTTAGCATTGTTTGCTTTTCCTCCTATGCCTTTTGTCATTTACATTTTTTTCGTTAGGTTGTTTAATCATTGCTTTTACAAGTCATAACACTAGCTTTCCGCATCTTATATGATAAGTTTTCAAGAACTCACATTATGGCAACTCTATAAGGGAGTTGATGATTGTGAAAAAGAAAAAGAAAACAATCTCTTCCAAGATAACTAAAGAGAACTCTAATTCTACTACTAGCTTTATCGCCCATAATAATGATAATATCTTGCATGATTCTATTCACAATATTGAAAATGTCAATGTACTTAACATTAAGAATGATAACAACTTTTCAAACCCTCAAATAGGTAGTGACAAATTGCCAAAACTACTAACATTACCAAGAGGTGGCTTATATTGACTCGTTGCTCAAGCCCTTGCCATGGTTGTTTAACATTCGAGTCTTCAAGCTATGACCGAAGTCATGAATATCTTTCAAGATGCTTAGTTCGGACTATAAAAGAAACAACACCGGATATTTAATATCTTTTAAGACAATAATGTTGTATTTACTTAGGCCCTTAGTAACATCATATAACTACTTTCCATAAAGAGAATATGTAACACCTCGACCCCAAAAGGGAGGTCGGAGTGCCACGACGGTGTCGAAAATTCACGGAGCGCTGGACACGGTTGTAGCGCAAGCGGTAACGTCTCACGCTCATCGAATGCGCATCGATGCCTTATGACATTAAACCATATATGGGATATGCAATGCATAACGGAAGACATTTGGCTTGAAAACATACTTAAAAACTCATTTTGTATATGACACTTTTCATCGATGCAAAACTTACGTCTCGCCTCGAAATTTCATTGACACAAATTGCGTCCGGGTAGCCTACATATGCGATAGCCTAAATCTGTCGCAATTCTTGATAGCCTACTATCCAGGTGACTTTGCGAGTGGAAACTAAAGGTCTAGCCATGTGAACTCATTATGATTGCTTTGCGTAGGATACCAAAATATTAAAGGTAACGAAAAATAAAAGGACACATGCTTTGGGAAAAATATTTTCATTTCATTCAAAATAAACATTGTACATACTTGTCTTCACAATGTTAGACATTGATTCCTAGAAAAGATAAATGAAAAGGATGTGTAGATGACACACCTTGATAGTTTCAAGAACATGCAAATAAGATTTGTAAAATACAAAAGTCCATTTATGGACTTGAGCATGCCGCTAGGTATAAGAGTGGATATTTTAATGAAACAATTAAAGAGTTTGATTATTTACCAAAATCAAAGACGAAATTTGTATATATAAGTTAGTAGGAGCCTACTAGTCATGGTTATTCAACATGAAAAATTAAACAAACTACTCATCGGTTATAATATTATCGTGTTGCAAACTATAAAAGATTAAGATATCCGAAAGCAATTTTCCAAATATAACATGGGAGAGCAACCTACAATGTAGGAGTGTAGATCTATAGAGGTAGATCACTTGAAATATAAGAAATCTCCTAAGGTAGATATAATGACATGATACTAAAAGGTTTAGTATGAAAAAATCAAAGAAAGATTTATTTCAATGTCATATAGCTTAATGGTCGATAATAAAGGATCCATAGTGCAAGCTAAGGAACCACGGTCTCATCAACGGTCCAAGCATGTACTACATTGCTACCACTTGATTATAAAGATAAACAATCATGGCGACGATAATGATAGAAAAAGTCTACAATGACGACAAAATAATCGACCCCTTGACTAGCGTTTATCATAGCTGAAATATGAGACCCTCACTTGATCGTCGGGATTAAGGGACATGGCAAGTTGACTCTAGTGTAAATGAGAGATTGTTAGTGTAGGTACTCAAGATTGAATCATATTTGGATGGGTTTGAGTTATTGTATCATTACATAATTTATAATAAAGAAGTCTTTCTATTAATTCTTGTCATTTAAATTTATTGATTGAATAAGATTAGATAGAAGTCCATATGATATGCATTTGCATTAATGATTTATCAAAAGATGTGAGAAAAACACTAATTGTAACTCCCATGAACTTACTTAATGTAGCTATACGTACGAAAATAATTTTATCTACAACTACTAAGTTGCAATTATGATTTTTGTGTCATGTTGTGTTTGGTGGGTTTAATATGCTTGGGTAAAAAAAAAAAATTATTTTCGATGTTCCGAAATTTAATTCCCGAGCCCAAATATCTTTTGAAATATCCATAATTATGTAAGCATAAATTATTTGTCATTTTTTTATACTTGTGGTATGAAAATAGTTAAGATTTATGGAAGTGTTCATAGGAATATCATTTTTTGGGAACTTAATCGGTGAGTATTTATTTTTTCATAATGTAAATATACCATGCAAGTGAAAAATATGTCCCATTTAAGAGTTATGGTCGAAATTTTGGAGCTAGGTAAGGTTAAGAAGTTGGTTAATTTTAATCACCTTTTAATTTCTTCCTTTAGTTAGTGATGTGACATAAAATCTTTCACCATACTTCCAATTGTACTTTCCCACTTAATTTTAGAAGGTTAAACACTCCAACTAGCCTCTCTTTTATCTCCATCAATTGACCTCTCTTATTACAAAAATTGGACACTTGGCATATTAAATATGAAAGAAATAATGGTTTAAAAGATGTGATATAAAAAAAATGGAAGGAAAGCTTAAGACTTGCCATCTTTTTTTGTCAAAAACGTATCTTGCAAAGAAGGGAGAGAGAGTGATGGTTTTATGAGGGAAGAAAGGGAAGAAATAAAGGAGAAGAAGAAAGGAAAGAAAGGAAGGAGAAATAGAAGAAAAAGGCTAAGAAATCTTAACCAAACACACATCATTGTAAGTAGGTTTCATTTAGCATTATTTATGCCTTAAAATTTAAATGTTCAGGTTTATTTTATGAGTTTTTTTAAGCTATGTAATATGTGGTTATGGTAGTTTGTGTTGATGTTAAAAATTTGATGTTTGGTGATGGATGTATGATGTTTTGATGATGGATTTATTTTGGAGGTACCACATGCTGGAAAATTTTTAGTTTCGAAATTTGTGTGATTTATTTCAGGATCTTAGAGTGGTTTCTAGGAAAGCCTTAAAGAATGAAAGTTGTTTACCTATGTGTCTACTAGCTCTCTATAACATTTCGTGATTTTTAGATCTATATATAAAGAGTTATGACTGATTTGGTACTAATCGTTTAGATATACCACATGCTGGAAAAATTTTTAGTTCCGAACTTTGTGTGATTTATGTAGGAATCTTAGAGTGATTTCTAAGCAAAACTCAAAGAACAAAATTTTTTCATCTATGTGTCTACTGGCTCTTTGTAAAATTTTATAATTTTTAGATATATATATATATATATATATATATATAAGGGGTTATGGTCGATTTGGTATAGGTTGGTTTAGATGTACCGTTCGTTGAAAACTTTTTAGGAAAGATATGAGTTTAGGTACTTAAACTTGATTAGTTAAGGTGTTTAGTTAGAATAAGTATTTAATTATATACCTAAGCCACCCTAATATAACTATATGGGTTTGGGAGATATGTATAAATCGGCTTGGACTTAAAATAAAGTGGACTTGAAATAAAACACATGGACTTGGACTAAAACAAAGTGGGCTTAGACTAAAATAAAAAGGGGTTCGGATTACAATCAATGGACTTGAGTTAAAATAAAAATGGGCTTGTATTAAAATAAAATAGAATTAAATTAAAATAAATAGACTTAGGCTTGGATTAAAATAAATGGGCTTTGACGAAAACAAAATGAGTTTGGATGAAAATAAATGGACTTGGATATCCTAAGAACACTTAGTGGACCTTGGTACTAAAATGGCTAAGTTGGATCATACTATGAAAATATTGATGAAGACCCAAGTGTGGATTGAATTTCTAAAATGGTATGGATATAAATGGTTTGGTGCCTATGAGATATGAAATATGGTTCATGATATATGAAATGGATTAATCTTATTAGACGGGTCTTGAA